TAATGTTCCTATTTCTATTTTGTGGAATGGTTTGAAGAGAATTGGTGTTAGCTCTTCTTTGAAGGTCTGGTAGAATTCTGAGCTGAAGCCATCTGGTCCTGGGCTCTTTTTGGTTGGGAGACTTTTGATGACTGCTTCTATTTCTTTGGGGGATATAGGACTATTTAATTGCTTTACCTGGTCCTGATTCAGCTTTGGTAAGTCAAATCAATCAAGAAAATTGTCCATTTCGTTTAGATTTTCAAATTTTGTGGCATATAGACTTTTGAAGTAAGTTCTAATGATTGTTTGGATTTCCTCAGTGTCTGTAGTTATGTCCCCCTTTTCATTTCTGATTTTGTTGATTTGGGTGGTGTGTCTCTGCCTTTTAGTTAGCTTGGCTAAGGGTTTGTCGATCTTGTTGATTTTCTCAAAGAACCAGCTCTTGGTTTCATTGATTCTTTGAATTGTTTTATTTGTTTCTAATTGATTGATTTCAGCCCTGAGTTTGATTATTTCCAGCTGTCTACTCCTTTTTGGTGTGTCTGCTTCTTCCTTTTCTAGGATTTTTAAGTGAGCCATTAAGTTGCTTGAATGTGCTGTCTCGAATTTCTTCTTGAAGGCACTTAGTGCTATGAATTTTCCTCTTAGCACTGCCTTCATTGTGTCCCACAAGTTTGGGTATGTTGTGTCTTCATTTTCATTAAGTTCTAGGAAGATTTTAATTTCTTTCTTTATTTCTTCCCTGACCCAGCTGTCTTTTAGTAGCAAGTTGTTCAGTTTCCATGTATGTGTAGGCTTTTTGCTATTTCTGTTGTTATTGAGGTCCAGCTTTATTCCATGGTGATCAGACAGGATACAAGGGATTATTTCAATCTTCTTGTATCTGTTGAGGCTTGCTTTGTGACCAACTATGTGGTCTATTTTGGAGAAGGTTTCATGAGGTGCTGAGAAGAAGGTAAATTCTTTTGTGTTTGGGTGTAAAGTTCTGTAAATGTCTGTTAGGTCCATTTGATTCATGACCTCTGTTAGAGATATTGTTTCTTTGTTTAATTTCTGTTTTGTTGACCTGTCCTTTGTTGAGAGTGGGGTGTTGAAGTCTCCCACTATTAGTGTGTGGGGATCTATGTGTGGTTTAAGTTTTATCAATGTTTCTTTCACAAATGTGGGTGAACTTGTATTTGGGGCATAGATGTTTAGGATTGTGATGTCTTCTTGGTGGAATTTTCCCTTGATGAGTATGAAGTGTCCTTCCCCATCTCTTTTGATTAATTTTGGTTGAAAGTCTATTTTATCAGATATTAGAATGGCTACTCCTGCTTGCTTCTTGGATCCATTTGCTTGGAAAGCAGTCTTCCATCCCTTTACCCTCAGGTAATGTCTATATTTGTGATAGAAAAGGAATTTTAAAGGGATTTGGTGACTTTTTAGTCCACCAGTGCTCATAAAGTGCCAAACAAGAAATCTTGTCACCAAAATCTCTCCCTCTCTCCCTAGAACGAAGCTTTTCTCTGTAACCTGAACTGATTAAGCTAGACATTAAGCCTTGTGTAACTCCACCGTTTTCAGAGCAAGGACAAAAGAATTCATTGGCAAAAATGCACTATAATAAATGTCAAAGGAAGTGTTACAGATGAAATAACAGTCTTAGAAGCGATATATTATCATTTGAACATAGACTCTGGTAAGTTAATATAATACGTTATAAATCTAATAGGGTAACAAAAATAAAGTAGAACAGTTACTCTGTTCATTTAAAATTATAAGATACTAAATTGAAAAGATTATCTCAAAAAGAGAGAAATGTGAAAACAAGATAGAAGAAAAATAGGAAATAGAAAGGTGATGAACTCAAAGCTATCCACCATGAATAATTACATTCAATATAAACGGTCTAATTATTATGACTAAAAGGCAGAGACTAGGACTGGAGTGATAGCTCATTTGAAAAAAATACCTGTCTTGTATGTACGATACCCCAAGTTCAATGCCCAGCACTACGAAAATAAAAAGAAAATAGTAATAATAAGAATAATGATGATGGATAATTAACTAAGTTCTTTAAAAAGACAGTGATCATAATTAAACTAAATAATTAAAGCCAAGTCATCATTGTATGTCTATGTAATGATACAATTTAAAAATATAAGTTAAATTAAATTAAAATATTAAAGAACCATTTCCATTCCAAACACAAGCAATGAGCAAGCAAGAATGACTACATTACTATTAAACAAAATAAACTGCAAATTAAAAAGAATCATCTAAGATAATGAAAGCATTTCTCAGTGATAAAAGAACTGATCATCAAGAAGACAGTCCTGTAAGATGCCCTTCTTAATTGTCTATGTTACTGGGTGTAGGATTACTATAGAGACTGCTGAAGCTTACCTCTGGGTGCATCTGTGAAAGCCTTTCCAGGAAAACGTAACTGAGAGGAAAAGGCCTATTGAGAATGTGTGTGAAACCATCCTATAGGCTGAGGACCCAGACAAAATTAAAGGTATAAAAGAAAAAAAGGCCAGCCAAGAACAGACATCCCTGTCCTTCTGCATCCTTTCTGCCGTGGAGTGGACCATTCTACTTTCCTCCATCACACACTCCTGCTGTGATGTACTGAACCCTCTGAAATTGTTGAGCAAATACAATATTCTTCCCTTAGGTTGTCTTTTCAGCCATTTTGTCATAGTGGTGCTAAAAAGTAATCTAGGCTTTGTCTCTGTTTCTGTCTCTTTCTCTCTCTATTGTTGTTGTTTGTGTGTGTTTAATAACAGAGCTTCAAAAGACATACTGTGCATTCTGATAGAATTAAAGCAGAGACAGGCAAGCCTGCAACCATAGTTTAAAACTGCCCCCCTTTCTCAGAAAGTGACAGAACAAAGAGATGAAGCTAAGCAACAAGTCGCCCAACTTGACTTGATTTAGAAGTATGTATACTGAACAACATGGAATATCCACTAATGCAACATTCTTAGCCATAAAGGAAATCTCAATAAATTGAAAGAATTTTAATTTTTAAATAATCCTTATTTAAAACACATACCAAAAAAAATGTTATTTGTATAAAACATGTAATAGAAAATCAGTGATTATGCCACTAATTATAATAACCTTCCATGGCTTTAAAATTTTATACTTATACAACCCTATTTCTATCAAGATATATAATAAGCAAATGTTATTCACAAGCTTACAAAGTATATGTGTGTCATTACAAACACACACACACACACACACACATCTTCCATGTTAGGGCTCTCATGGAATTTTATTTGGAAAAAAAAAAAAACAAGTGCTGTTGCTAAAAATAAAACAAAAAAATTGAAGTCTCTAATTGATCTGGATAAATCTGAGAGACCCATGCCAATTGGCACATTATTAATTTCTTCTTTCTGATTGCTGTCAACCATCCAAACAAACAGAAAAACCAACAATAACAATCAGTTCTCTCACCATCCCTGCGAGCAGCTCTGGTGAATGCTCACTAAGTGGGAGGCATTGTTCCATTGTTCTAGGATATTTCAAGTATTTAATTCTTGCTCTTATTTTTCTCCCATTTTACAAGTGAGTAAAATGAAGCCCTGGACGGTTATGTAATTTGCTCAAGATCAAATAACTATTAATAGTAAGTGCCAGCACCCGGGGTTTGAACACAGGATGATTTTGTCATGTAACTTTCTATTTTGAAAACCAACGTCAGATGCACTGGCAGCGAACACAATGGGACCATGATGTCTCCCTCAGCACTTGGTAAAGCGTTGAATTGGATCGCCTCTGCCTTGACTTAAAGTTTGCCTCTCCACTGATCTGTCTTGTTTGATAAGTTCATCAAACATCAAGAGTCTGCTCGTTTTCAGAAAGGATTACAATGATAAGCTTTTATAATTGAGAGTATCTCAGCTGAGATTTTCTTCGCCACCGACCTCTTGCCTGTGTCTTTTAATTACTAGCGATGAATTTTATGATGTTTCAAAAGTGTATTTGTTTTAAATACAAATGACGGATGGCGGATTATCTGCTTGTAAAGCATGTTTCCCTCCTGAATTGTTACTTAAAGGGAATCTCTCTTACTCCTGCATTTAAGCCAGTGATTCTCAACCTTCCTAATGCTGTGACCCTTTAATACAGTTCCTCATATTGTAGTGACCCCCTTACTACTGTTATGAATCGTAATGTAAATCCCTGATATGCAGGATATCTGATATGTGACCCCTGTGAAAGAGTCAACCAACCCCAAACCATGCATAGGCTGAGAGCCGCTGAATTAAGCTATAATGACTCAAAATTGAATCCACTAATAAGAATTTCAATAAAATAACTCTATTTAAAGCCTCCAATGTTTGAGAGGCAGAGAGTGTTTAAAATCTATCCCAATGGTTTGATTTAAGGTGCTGCTTTAGTACAACAAAATATTCAATGGTGAGATATAAACATATGGAGCCAGGTTGGAAATCTCACAGAAACAGGCAACTTGCAACAGACATGGGAAAATATTACCTCTGCTGCTGCCCAGAGCAAAGGTTTAGAATGACATAGAATGAGTCTCTACAGCATCTCACTTTCCCCCACGTAAATATTTGCATATATTGTCTAAATATATCCTCCAACCAGTGTAAGCTGAGATTTTCTTTTATAGATAACAAAGTGAGATTCACTGTCTCACATTGCTTGAGAAAAATACTACTTATTAAATGCCTACTGTGTGCAGAGAATATTTTAAATACAGAGTTTTATCACATCTGTGTTAACTGCTGTAGAAGAGATATTATGAGTCTCAGTCTACAGAAATGAAAACTGGGAATCAGAGAGACTAAATGATTTTTTGTCTGGCTTACCCCAGCGCTAAGTGGTAATTCATAGCTGGCTGAGCAGAATACTACTAACCGGCTTTTTCCCTCACCAAATTCCTCTACCGGCTTAGTAACAGTATGAAAAGAGGTTATATTCCATGTGAACACAGCTCACTGCCAGCATCACAATGTCTTAGACCCCAGTTTTTGGAAGACCGAAAGCCCACTTACTGGTTCACCTTCTCCTCTGCGGTTACCCCGGGGTGCCATGTCATCAAAGACAAGCCGAAGAAAACAACTGCAAACATCTCATCCAGAAGTGACCATCTAGAAAATAGCCTGTTTATAGATATCATCAGGCTGAAACTCAAAACGTCTCTCAGAGGTTTAAAATGGTCAGAAGTCCCTCAGTTCCCATTCAATGCGATTAACTAGTAACCAAGGTATTGATTAGCCAAACACTTTCAAAATGGCCCCAAGCCCTTTAGCCCTTTTAGAGAAATGTGCACGTGGCTAAGGAAAGGTGATGTTTAACTATGATCGGTTCAGCGAAGAGTATTCTTTTCAGAGACAGACAAAACCAAGATGCCGTTGCAGGACTCGGGGTGGTTTCTAGTGGCTCTCGGAGCTTCTGAGGTCAGATGAGTCTGCTGTCGAAGACAGCAGCAAGGCTCAGGGCTCATCTGGTTCAGCAGCTCAGATGCAAGCATCCAAGAAGGTGCGGGAACGCTACGAGTTACATAGCTCCCAAGGAGTCGCATATATTACCAAACATCTGGAGCCTGGGAGTGTGCGTGCTTCACTCCTGGCCTTCCTGGTTTGGATACAAACACTGAGTAGAGAGCCTATTTTTGTCTCAAGGAGACCAGATGTCTTAAATACACATCTTCAGAAACTCTCCCTCTGTCTCTGGAATTATAATGCCAATCATAGCCAAGACAACTGCACTGAAGATGCCATGCCTGGATATCTCCCGCTCTGCCAGACATAAAGTAAATCAAGTAAATGGAGACGGGCAGAAGAGAGATGCACAAATTAGCCAAAAAGCTATTAAATACTACCATATGATAGGCGCTTCGTTTGTCTTTTTCTATTTAATCTTCAATCAAGAAGCCTGCCACATGAAAATTATTAAGTCCATATTGCCACTGACGAAGTGGGAGCTCCATTAACTAACTAGCTCAAGGATGTACAGCTGCCTCCTCGCTGTGCTTGAAGAGGTGTAGCTTTGCCTCGGTAGGATTAGCCAGTTGCATCATTATGATCTCAACGGGGAAACACAATGACTAGCTTGAATGCCTGAGAAATGCACCTCCGATTCATATGCGGAGACAGCAGAAAGGCAGCCCCTAGCAGCCCCTTTCCTCTCCTCAGAGGTGCAGGCAAAACTTGGCAGGTGTGAGTGCCAGTTCTGAGGGCTGGAAGGGCCCTAAGACTGTGTCTGTCTGCCTCCTGCCTCTCTTCAGTTTTGATTCCTAGGTTGTCTTAGCCTCAGATCTCCCCCCTGTATATACATTATTTGAAAACTTTCTTTTCTCCCCCAAAAGAAACCAAGTTGGCATTTTCTGTACTGTGACCCATGATATAGAGATGGGGGTGTTAACATCTGGACACCCTTGGGAATCTCAGGGTGGGGTACCTGGACCCCACCTTTGTCCTAACCCCTAACATCCGATATATGACAAAGTTCCTGTCTCAGACATGCTGAGTCCTCTGGGACTGGAACTCTGGGTCCCCAACTGCTTCCATCGATTTCTTCATGGGGAACAGACCTCCCCTAGAACTGTCTTCTAGAGTAGGGGTGACGCTGGCTTCCAGGGGCCACTTGGCAATGCCCAAGAATGCTTGTTGGTAACAAGCTTGTTGCTCAGCCAGCTATGAATTACCACTTAGCGCTGGGGTAAGCCAGACAAAAAATCATTTAGTCTCTCTGATTCCCAGTTTTCATTTCTGTAGACTGAGACTCATAATATCTCTTCTACAGCAGTTAACGCAGATGTGATAACACAGGGTTGGACTGTGTTACTGGCAACCAGTGGATAGAGGCACGGGGTATAGCTAAACATCCCACAATGCAGAGGTCCCCCCTACAGAGAAACATACCAGACCCTGAGCGTCGATAATAGCTATATTGAGGTACAAGAGTCTGGCCTGCCGCCTTCTTCCCTGGGCTCCTGGGTCCCTCTTCTTTCCACAGGTATGATGAAAGCATGTTCTTTTTAGATCATCTCCCTCTAGAAGTTTCACTGCTGACTACTCTCCTTACCCCAAACCTCAGTGACATCCAGACTCCTGGTTGGCCTTTAGTCACCTCTCCCCACCCCATCCTCCAACATCCCCCATGTCCTCCCTCATTTAAGTTATATTGCTTTCCTCCATAATGGTCCCCCCTTGCTTTATCTTCACTACCATAAACCATTCCAGCCTTCCCATCCCCTACCCCCAGACTCTGAAACTATAAACTGACTTCAAGTGGGCCTCATTTCTCCTCCCTCCACAACATGGCTGAGCGCATCTTTAAGAAAATGGAATCCACCATCACTCTCCTGCTCCAGTGCCTTCTGGGGCTCCCCACCGTCTATCAATCAAAAGTCTAAACTCCTCCCTAAATGGGACCCCACCCAACTTTGCACCCTTAACTCACCTCATGCATCTTACTCTCCCTTCAGTATGACCTAGGAACCCCTTGCCTTCCTCTCACTCTGTCACTGTGGTAACTTTTCTCATCTTGCCTCTTCTACCAGAACCGCCATCTTTCTGCCAGGTGCCTTCTCAAAGGCAGGTCCATGATGGATATCTGTCAGATGGCTTCAGTTAGAAGTTGTTGCCTTGTTATCTCATAAACATGGCAAGAGCACTTTTAGCTTTTCTCTTACTGTTTCCTAGAGTGTGGAGGCACTCTGGGGAGTGAGCCTCACGTTAAGGGTGAGCTCTGTACATAATTCTTCCTTATAATCTCTCAGGTCACTCAGTAACTATTGATCCATGGCTAATCAAATGATGCCTCCCTCTCACAATACTTGTATTTTGTCTTCAAAATGATCCTTTTTATTATTTCACTGTGTGTGTGTGTGTGTGTGTGTGTGTGTGTGTGTGTGTGAACATAAATACACACACTGCAGCACATGTGTGGAAAACAGAACAATTTTCAGAAGTTAGTTTTCTCCTTCCATCATGGTTCCTGGAGAGTCAAATTCAGGCCTTTCACTACAAGCTCCTTTACTCACTGAGCCATCTTGCCAACCCCCTCAAAATGATCCTGCAAGCTCTCTGGAAGTCAGAATAACTTAACAACTATGGAGTACAGGCCCTGTTCCTGCCGTCTCTCAGAACCACAATCCTAACAGTAATCTTGCAATGCCAAGAATCCTGAGGCAATACAACTAGTATCAATTTAATTAAAAATGGCGACACCAAAATTTAGACTGGGTTAATGGATTGGCTACAAGCCCTCACAGAATGAGTCTGAATCACAAATCAGTGGTCTTTGTGATCTGAGTCAGTGATCTTTCCCATCCCTGACCCAGAGATTGTTTGGATCTTGTTGTGCAAGTACAAAGTGCCACATCAGGCTAAGGCTAGATCTTCCAGCGTCAAGTCTGGAGCCCCATCTATTATACATTATCAGAAATGGATAACACTTCCAGACACAATGAGCCAAAAAAAAAGAAAAAAAAATCATGGATGAAATGAAAAGAAAGATTCTGGACTGCTATGGTGGCATATTCTTGTAATCCCAGCACTCAAGAAGCTGAGGCAGGAGGATGAAAAGTCCAAAGCAAGCCTTGGATATATACAGAGACCATACCTCAAAGAAGAGGGGTGGGGAGAGGCCGATGGAATGAGAGAGTAAAAGTGTAGAGCATTGGGGTGGGGGAACCCATTTGCTCCAGCCAAAATTTTCTAAGATGAATGGAAAATGCCAAAAAAAATATGTTAGGTTTGCATATTTGAATTTCACCTTAATGATAGCACGCTGCTGTCAGTGACAGTTGTAAACTACCATGCAGAATCAACAGTAAGACAGTAATTCATTTTGAAAATGCATTGCCTGTCTTTTAGAAACACTCTTCACTGTCGAAATCAGCCTGTGAGTTGCGGCCTCAGAACAGAGCCTGTCCAGCACTGTCTTATGCAGGTACTACCATGACGTCTGGGCTCATGCTCTCTCTGGTAAACTTTTTGAAGTTCTCCACAATCCCGGTGCTGGGCCTCCAGTTCGCACAATCCCATGGGAGAGCTGAATCTGCAAATCTAATGTGAAAGGAAGCAATTCCCTGGGGTAGAGCACAGCATTAGGTCAGAGAGTACAGCTGACCAGTTACTGTCTCCTAGCCTTGGTTCCATCATCCGTTTATCAGCTAAAATAACACTTTCCTAATAGGACAAGATTAAACACCAAATGAGGGAATCTGTTCACAGGCGGGCACTTTGAACAGCTGTTTCTGCCTTGTTGAAACAGCCTCCAATTCTCAGTCTATTTTTCTTCATTTATATGCCTGGGAGATTTCCTTCAAGTACAGAGGGGCAGAAAGCGCAGGTCTGTGGAAGAACTTGTCAGAGGAGGGCAGACTGTGGGAAGTCCACACCCAGGCACTGTGAACTGAGTCTTAATCCCCTTGGAGGGCAGATACCACCAGAAAGAGCTGTAATAACTGGTCCAAATACAAGGAGGCCAGGGAGAGCGGTTTCCACCCCATCTATGCCTAGGTCCCAGTAGCACCTCAAGGATTTAAAACAGGAAGAACTCAGAAGGACACCTTCAACTTGAATGTGGCAATCTTGCAATGGCTACAGCTAATATGCATCTTCTCAGGAGCTTACTTCTTGGAATCAATGTGGATCACCAAGCTTTATGTGGGGGTTTACTGTTTATGTGGGGGCTTGGTGTCTGTGTGTGTGTGTGTACCACAATGATCTAATTTCTCTGCACAAGAGCCTAAAGAATGCCAAACACAGGACACAGTCTGCAGGCAAGTAACAAACAAACATATCCCCACCCCCACCCCCCCCCCCCCCCCCCCCCGCTGCCTTCCCTACTTCCTGTCTCCACCCTTTGTGGGATCCCGTGTCTATGGTATCTGTTTTCCTCCTGATTGCCTCATCAGTTCCCGGCTGTAGCCAAGGATGTTAGTGCTAAGTTTTCTGCTGAAAATGAAGTGGGGCCGAGTTAAGTAATTGGTCTCAATCAAAGGCTGTCCGGCGGACGGGCTAATTCATGCCTACTGCTATCTACCTCCAAGAGAGCCTTGCATTTGCATTTAAGGACGTGGGATGAGGAGTCAAGGACTGGCTCATTACAGTAGGAAACTAAAGGCCTGTTCTCCGGGAAGAGGTTTAGCATTCTAAGTGGCTCTGGCCAAATCTGGGTGGTCCTTTGGGAAATCTTTATTAGAAATGG